GTCTGGCTTGTTTGTATAGTATACGAGCAGGTCTAGCCTTTGCCCAGCCACCACAGATCTGCTAGGCAGACCTTCTCAATCGCGATGATGACGAATAAAAGTGAAGAAAAAGCTCCAATGTCTCAGATTTCCTCGAATTTGTTTCTCCACAGGGAAAGAGATATGAACAGGACAACAAGCCATCGTTGTCAGACCGCTGGATTGTGTGGAGGACTCCACTAAAGAGTTTATTTTGTTGGGTTGAAACTGGCTCTTAGTTCTATTTTCGGTCATTGAGGAATATCTGATTGGTCATTCAATCTCAGAGGATGTCTTGATACCTTCTAACACAATTTTGTATGCTGTTGAGGTGATGTTGTGTGTTATGCAATGCCCTGCGTCAGTTACCATATGAGGGATTTAAATGTCTGTCAATATTGTCATGACAGTCACGTTGAAGGGCGTTCTGAATCCTGGATGTTGATTTGCCTGCTGTATCAGCTTCTAGACTGTACTAGCAGAATGGATTCAGATTTATTATCCTAGCCAATGTCATCACACGGAATTGCCAAAAGTGGTATGCAGAGGTATAGGGCGTACATGAATACTTTCCCGATATGGTAATCCGCCTGATGCCCAGACGGCGTGATTGTTGCAGTGTAATTGGCAGACCGGTGGAATGATAAAATCTAGAATGAGAATACCGAGGTAAACTTCTGCAGGTGAATGAAAGTCATGATGCTTTCTTGAGGCTGGTGTGGCGAAGGCCGTGGCTCATCGGGTCTGATTTCCACATCCGGGGACGTGGCAACGGCTCTGCTAAGAATAACTGATGATGAGCGTGCGAACCATAGACCTTTTTTTTTTCTAGATAACAAGGTTATCGGCATCGCCACGCCTTGACGAGCTTCTCGGCCTGCCATTGCTGACCGACTGTCCTTTCCTCCGAGACATCCATCCTGGCCGAGATAAGCCGATTCGTCTGTCATCTGACTTTACCAGAAAAGAAAATAAAAAAAATAAATGACTTGCTTACTGATTCTAGGCAGATACCAAACCGCTCTTCCAGCTGAGTCATTGCTATTTTTACGCGTGTCGAGTCGAGTCGACTGTGGCTGGCCTGACGACGTGACGTGCAGAATGTTTCCATCTCGAGTTAATCCCCCTCAGCCCTACGGTGCCATCGCATCGCATCTTGCGGACGCCATCCGAGCCGTATCCATGGAATGCGTGAGGCCATTCTATTGGCATTACGAGATGGGTTCCAGTCTTCAGGCCTCCGGTCTCACCCGTTGTCACTCGATGTCCCCAGAATAGAACCCTAACTGCAGGGACGGCGGTCTATAAAGTCTGCTGATCCGGATCGTCGTGGGTTTTCTTTCTCCGTCAATTGCTTGCAGATCATCTCCATCTCTCTACATAAACTCGGCCACGTGATCCATACTCATCTAATCTATAACCATCTATCATCCTGTCTATCATGCACTCCACTGTCCTCTTCCTGGGGGCCCTGCTCGGGTCTGCCCTGGCCCTCCCTCAGCATCCCACTGCGCCGCTGAAGACCGGGGCTTCTTCCAAGCACACGCCTTCTCAGACTCCGCCGTCTCCGCCGCTGGCCACAGGAACTCTGGTGCCTCCTAACGGTAGCAACCCGTCCCCGCCTGGTGGAGAGACGACAACGATCATCGAGACCATCACCAAGACCTCCTTCGTGCCCTGCTCGACGCCTGTCACCACCCACCGCGGTACGACCTACTACAGCACCTGGCTGACTACGTCCTTGTACACGACCACCACCCACTACACCACCAGCGTCCCTGCTGCCAGTGCCACGCCCACGCCCGCTTCCGGCGGTGCTGGCATCGGGCCTGGTGGAGTCTGCCCACCGGCTCCAACGGTGACGGTCACAGTGACGCCTGGCGTCGGCGATGGTGAACACTGCGAGAAGTGCCAGACCATCACCTACGTCAACATCTACGGCGTGACGACCACCATTATCGTGCCTCCTCCTCCTCCTCCTCCTACCACGTCGCCTTACGACGGCCACGGCCACGGCCACAGCCACACAACGACGACGAAGACGACTACTCCTGCTACGTCGACGCACTCTTCTCGTCCTTCTGGAACGGCGCCTATTGGCACTGGATCACGACCCAGCGGTACAGCACCCAGCGGTACAGGCACACGGTCCAGCAGGACAGGACACCCTGCTGGGACGGGCAGTGTCAAGCCGACTCACGGGTGAAAGGTGCTGTAATGACGATATCAAACTCATTTTCTAATATATAACAGAAGGGGGGTTGTCTTCGCCTGATTTTTGGACACTTTTTTTTTATTCATCCAAATTCACTAATTATCATTATTTATTACCTGGGGGCATACATCAGCGTCATACCTTCTCTTAATATTTTTTTTCTTTTCTCTTTTCTTCTTTTTATGCCCGATGTCATTCCTTCGTGGTCGATAATAGGGATTCTTCATAGACAGGACTGGTGTTTGTCTCAGGTCAGGTCCGGTCTGGTATATAGATGCAGCCGTGGGTATGAATAGATTATTCATTCTGGTATTGCATTTATATTGTGCTTGCTCCTACTGTTGATAAATTCATGATTCAGTTTAGGAAGACCTCTCGACTTACCTACCATATTTGTATTCCTCGATTTCTTTAAATTAATTCTTTTATCTCGTTATCACTTTCTGAATTGACCAATCAGGTCGTCTGCGGGGTAAGCTTCCAAGCCGAGCAGCCAATAGGATTTGTGCCATTCTGTGGCTTACTTCGCGATTCCATTTCCGTAGAACAGAACAGCCTCTAACAGAGTTCTAACAGCGTCTAGCAGACTCTAACAGCCTCTCTAACGCAAGACAGAAGGTGTCAAGGTGAGGCATGCCGCATTCCGGTTACCCTTGTCAGTGGTCCCTGCCAGGGGCCAGCCCATGCTTGGCTGCGGATGTAACCTTGGGGGCCAGACACATGGCAATCGACGATGCCACTGCAGCATGCCACGTCTTTATCTGGCTAATAGCGAGTATCAGCGATGAGAAACAGTATAAGTTATGAACTTGGTATTATGAACTTGGTGTGTACTGATATGACAAGCGATCAATAGAAGGATTGAAGGAATCGACGTTCTAGAAGCGCCAAAAAGGGGGCTGCTGGGCTGCTGGATCCGGGCTGAGTTAATCCTCCAGGAACGCCGCCATGGCCCGCGATCGACAGGGCTGTTGCCATGCGGGCTGCCATCTGGGCAGACTGGGCTGGTGAGTACTCTGCGTAATTTCGTTCCTGACTGTTGGTGATACTGCCTGTCGCCACGAGTCAGGGCCTGGCAGATGAACGCTCCAGCACTGTCCTCCGCTGTTACATCGATCGACGGGTGTCATGATCTGGAGATAAGCTGGCGAGATCGGTGGGGACGAGACCGGTCTTGTCTTGGTCGTGGCGAGTTATTTTATATAAACAGAGCAACTCCCACGCCGATCCCTCACCGCACTGCGGCCTCACTTAACCCCCCCCCCCCCAGGCCAGTCCCTTCGTTTTTCTTTTCCTCTCCCACTCTCGTCTGGCCTGATCGCTGACCAGAGTCGCTCGTTCGACCGTCGTCAGGCACGATGCGCATCCCCAACGCCCTGGCCGCCCTGGGCTGCCTGGCCTCGACCGTGGCTGCCGTGGCCGTCAACCCGCTGCCGGCGCCGCGGTCCATCAGCTGGGGCAATTCCGGCCCGCTGGAGTTTGCTGAGAACACTGTCCTGTACACCCCCTACAACCAGATCGTCTACGACGCCTGGAACCGCGCCCTCAAGACCATCATCACGCTGAAATGGGAGCCGGCCGCCGTCGAGAAGCCCATCGCCACCTACGAGCCCTTCCCCACGCCCGCTGCTGCCGCCGCCGCCGCCGCGTCCAACTCCAAGCGCTCGACGATCCAGCAGCTGCGCAGCGTGCAGCTGCACATCGACGACCTCAACGCCGACCTGCAGGCGGGCGTCGATGAGTCGTACACGATCGACATCTCGGGCAACTCGTCGACCATCGAGATCACGGCCAAGACCGTCTGGGGCGCGCTGCACGCCTTCACGACGCTGCAGCAGCTCGTCATCTCCGACGGCCACGGCAACCTGATCATCGAGCAGCCCGTCAGCATCCAGGATGCGCCGCTGTACCCCTGGCGCGGCGTCATGATCGACACGGGCCGCAACTTCATCTCGCCCGACAAGATCCGCGAGCAGATCGACGCCATGGCGCTGGCCAAGATGAACGTGCTGCACTGGCACCTCGACGACTCGCAGTCGTGGCCCGTCGAGATGCGCACGTACCCGCAGATGACCAAGGACGCCTACTCGCCGCGCTCCGTCTTCTCGCAAGACGACATCCGCGGCATCATCGCCTACGCGCGCGCCCGCGGCGTGCGGATCGTGCCCGAGGTCGACATGCCGGGCCACGCGGCCGCCGGCTGGAAGGAGGTCGACGCCAGCATCGTGTCGTGCGCCGACTCGTGGTGGTCCAACGACAACTGGGCGCTGCACACGGCCGTCGAGCCGACGCCGGGCCAGCTGGACATCATCAACAACGCGACGTACGAGGTGGTGCGGAATGTCTACTACGAGCTGTCCAGCATCTTCCCGGACGATTATTTTCATGTCGGCGGCGACGAGCTGCAGACCAACTGCTACAACTTCAGCAGCTACGTGATGGCCTGGCTGGCCGAGGATCCGTCGCGCACGTACGACGACCTGGTGCAGTACTGGGTCGACCACGCGTACCCCATCTTCCGCGGCGTCAAGCCTTCGCGCAAGCTGCTGGCGTGGGAGGACATTGTCAACTCGTCGCCGCACGCGCACAGCGTGCCCAAGGACACGCTGCTGCAGACGTGGAACAACGGCATCGCCAACATCCAGAACCTGACGGCGCAGGGCTACGACGTGATTGTGTCGTCGTCCGACTTTCTGTACCTCGACTGCGGCTACGGCGGCTTCGTCACCAACGACCCGCGCTACGACGTCCAGGCCAACCCGGACCCCAGCACGCCCAACTTCAACTACGGCGGCAACGGCGGCAGCTGGTGCGCGCCCTACAAGACCTGGCAGCGCATCTACGACTACGACTTCACCACCAACCTCACCGCGGCACAGGCGCAGCACGTCCAGGGCGCCATCGCCCCGCTGTGGTCCGAGCAGGTCGACGACGTCGTCGTCTCGTCCAAGATGTGGCCGCGCGCCGCCGCCCTGGCCGAGCTCGTCTGGTCCGGGAACCGCGACCCCAACACGGGGCTCAAGCGCACGACTGAAATGACACAGCGCATCCTCAACTTCCGCGAGTATCTCGTCGCCAACGGCGTGCAGGCTGCTCCGCTGGTCCCGCAGTACTGTCTCCAGCACCCGCACGCCTGCGACCTGTACTACAACCAGACTGTGATCCAGTAGTCGTCATCTACTTGTATGCATTGCATAAAGACAAACAGACAGATAACATGTTCCGTTCTTCTTCGTCTTCTTCTCTTCTTCTCTTCAATCGAACGTCGTTCTTGGATATCAGCTTATTTCTTGCCTATTTTCTCCCTGTAGATAGTTCAGCTTGCTCTGCTTCTATAGCTAATGTGATGAGAGAGTCTGGCATTGGACAGAGTACATTTCCTAGTAGCTACTAGTATATATATATATATGTAATGGTAATGATTGAGTAACGGTTCATGATATACATCATCGTATTATACTATACTATACGTGTCATTTACTATACCATCACCCATATCCTCCTAGACGACCAGTTCATAATCATGAACAATGCGACTAACTAAACAAGCTAGAAATCGAACTCCTTCCGGAATACATCCACATCCATCCCCGGAACCACCATATCCGCCAGGTCCCGCCGTCCCATCGACGTAAACACCCGTCGCAACGTGTCGTACAGGTTCGTGCTCTGGTTCTGGCTGATGTGGATCATCCGCTCCACGTCCGCGTCGCCGATCCCTTGCACCCCCTCGACGATCTCCCGCGCCCGCTCGCGCCCTTGCTGCTCCACCACCTTGTGCATCGCCAGCGCGCCCAGCAGGTGCTGCGCCGCCTCCGGGTAGCATCCGATGTTGATGCACGAGACTCCCAGGTTGTACCGCGCTCGCACAAAGTTCGGGTTGATTGTCAGCGCCTTCTCGTACGCCTCGATCGCCTCCTCCGATCGGCCCGAGTTGGCCAGTGTCGCCCCCAACCGGTTCCATAGCAGGTGCACCTGCCCTTGCTGGTTCGATGTGCCCGACTCGGTCGACGCCAGCGCCGCCGAGAAGCAGTCGACTGCTTTATCGTACTCCTCCGCGCAGTAGAACAGCACCCCCAGGCCGACCTGCACGTCCGGGTCCATGTGCTCCCCCGAAGGCGACAGCTGGGCCGCCTGGATAAACAGATCCGTCACCTTGTCGTGCAGCAGCTGCCGATCCGTGAACCCCACATCGCCGTCCTTCGAGAGATCCTTCGGGTCGATGATCTGCGGGTATTTCACTGACAGCCACCGCTCCAGCGTCCGGTACGCCGTCGAGTCGTACCCTTCGTTCGTGTACGACACGGCCAGCCCCATCAGGGCATCCAGATTGTTGGGGTCGAGTTTGAGCGCCTGCTCCAGGGCCCGAATCGCCGGGCTCTCCTTCTCGTTCTGCGCCTGCGCCGACCCCAGCATGACCCAGGCCTCCACGTGCTGTGGATCCTTCTGCACCGCGGCTTCGAACGCCAGTGCAGCCAGGGACAGATTGCCGCCCTCCCGCATGATCTTCATGCCCTCTTCGAACGGGTTGCTCACCGCGCGGAAAGCGTTGTCTTCCTCGAATATGTAGTCTCCCAGCTGAGGGTCGCGGAATCGCGTGTTGAGACTGTCAAACCCTTCCCACTCATTGAGCTCCCCCATGTGCAGGTTTTCTCCCTCCTTGAATTCCAAGTCTTGCTCCAGTTTTCTGGAAATGCTCGAAGTTTCAGCCTGGACTCTTTGCCAAACACGCTCAAAATCCTCAAATCTTTCCTCGTTTTTGGTGGTGTCACTGATGGGCACTGACCTGTCAAGCTCATTCAGTTCCTTCTCTATCGCCTCGTTGGCCTGGTCATCCAGCGCCTTTTGGTCCGCTGCGTCCATCTCCGCAAACTGTTTCTCCCAGTTCTGGTCGTCCAGTTCGACCATCCGCCCCTTGCCCTTATCCTGTGTCGTCGACTCGACGGGTCTCTGCGGCATGGACATGGGGCCTGCGTATGCCGGTCCCATCATACCCATGGGTCCCATGCCAGCCATGCCCATGTACCCCATCCCTATCGGTCTCTGGTAACTGTTCAGCAGAGGCGGAGTCGACGTCATGGGACTCGACGTCTGCGGCATCGCGGTCCGGTTCTGTTGCTGGAAGCGAGCAAACTCGGCGGGGGAAAAGCCGCCATTCCCATTGAATGCAGGGGCATTGGGACCCTTAAACGCGGCCTCCATACGAGCTTGTTCACCAGCCTCGAACTCTGCCGCCCAGCCAGGCGATCCCGTTCGAGGTGGTGCCGTCTGAAGATTCTCCATCTCTCTCCGCATCTGCTCCATGGCAAACGGCTGGGCGGGGCCTTGGGGCAACGGGCCGGACTGTTGTAAGAACTCGTCCATCATCTAAATTACAACAATCAGCATCAGATAGATTATATAAAGATCTATTGCAAATAATAGAGTTCTCCTACCTGATCCTGTCCTCCCACCATCCCTCTCGAGCGCATGCTCTCCTGCATGCCTCCGGGACCTCTCCCCACCAACCGGTCCCGTTGCAGAGACTTGTCATCTTGGACATGCTTGGTGAACTGCGTCAACGGGTTGCCGGCCGTGGAACACTCGGCGCCACCGAGGAACGACATGGTGAGTTGGCTCCGGGAGGGACCAGCGTCTGCGGTATGGCTGGCGTGATGCGTATGGAAATGTGCGTGAGTCTATATACAGAGTCGCATGGACGAAAGAAAGAAGAGGAGGAGGAGGAGTCTTGAATGGAAAGGTGTGATGTGATGAGGAGAGAGAGAGTGCGGAGAAGCAAACGAAACGAGGTCGGAGAATGGCGGGCCCTGCAGGGCTCTCAGATCGGTAATCCGTCGATGAAGGGCTCCGATGTGGGGTAAGATGAGGGCCCCGTTGGACAATTCAGCAAGTATTAATAAACTCACGTCCGTCTGTGGAGGACGCTAGAAGGGTTGCATACACAAGATAATAGAAGTGATACCTTATAAGTTAAGCAGCAACCAGGTAATCGATGTCCTTGGCCACGTCTCACGCTCGGCAACAGGAGTTGAGGTCGCCGGCTGGACCGAGGTATGCGCGGGGACGTCACGTGGCCGACGAAAGATTTATGCCTGAGGCATCAACAATGAGCTAGCCATACAAGGTATCTACAGGCTCTATCTCAAATTAAGCAGAAGCATAGCCTAACTTTTCTTCAAATCAATCGAGCAAAAACCTATCTATATATAAAGGCCTACAATAAAGTATAGTACTGTACATAATCCAAGCAAAATACCTGTTATGGTCATGTCCTGTCGTCAATTCCATCGCAGAAGAAAAAACAGGATTTGGCAACAAAAAAATTGACACAAAGGCCGTAATCGCGAAATTCCGGCAAAATGCATCGTCTATTATTATCCCATCCGTGTAGAAACCCAGTGTAAATATAATATAATACAGTCGACAAGAATTTCCCCTACAGAAATAGCAAAAAAAATAGTACTGTACTGTACAATGAACAACCCGACAGAAGCTGCGCCAGCTGGTTTCCCCTTCCATCAAAGAAGCAGACGATCAAATTCGCCGAGGCCGTTCGATATTCCAAATGTCGAGAATCCGCCGCAGCATCGGGAAGAAAGATCAAGGTGGTTCTGTCATATCAATGCCTTTTCCTCACTATAGGTCAGGTCAATGCTGCACATGTCCCGGACTAGTACGGTAAATTACTGAGGTTGCTTCTGCTGTTGCTGCTGGGCTGGTTGCTCTGACCCATATTCGAGATCGCGAGAACGGCCCTTGTTCGTGTGGCTGTAGTCCACATTCAGTTTCCGGCCGTAAGGGGCCTTGCGGTTGAGCACTTCGTACGCAGCCTGGGCACTGGGGATGTCCGTAAAATCCGCGTGGGCAAACCCCCTTGGCTGGCCGGTCCTGCGGTCGATGGCCACCCGCACATCAATGACGTTGCGGATGTCCCTGAAGAGCTCGTTGAGATCTCGATCCGTCATCTCCCACGGCAAGTTCCCGATATACAGCGTCTTGGAAGGCGTTGGGCTAACGCTGCCCATTTTGAGATTCGCCTGCGCGAACTGCACGACCACCCGGCGCCCTTCGAAAATCTGCATGTGCATTCCATCAATCGCACGCTTAGCGGCTTGGACGGAGTCAAACGCGACATAGCCGAACCTATAGAAAGGGATTAGAAAAAACCATCGTTTCATAGCGCAGAATAGTTTCCTTCCCCTTAGAAGTCGAAAGGATGATAGGATACGGGTCACTCACCCCTTGCTCAAACCGCGGCTATCATGAATGATCTTAGCGGACTCCACAACTCCATACTTGCTCATTTGGCGTTTCAGATCCTCGGCCGTCACATCAAAAAGAGGTTTCCAACATAAATTGTCTCCTTTGGCGACGGCGGGCTCCAGAAACGTCGTCTTCGCGTGTCCCCTCCCTGAGTACCATTCACTTGCGTTCCTGGTTCCGACGTGGATTCGACGCCGGATGCAGCTGCAACTTCCGCCTTCTCTGCGGTTTCATTTGTGTTTGCTGGGGAAGCCTGTTCAGTTGCAGTTTCGGTGCTCTTCGTAACTTCATTTACGGTTGTTTGCGAAGGCTGTTCCGTGGCAGCTTCGGCAGCAGACTCGACTGTCCGGGAATTCGACTGGTCCGCAGACGCTGGGATATCCTCCTTCTCAGTCTTTTCCTGTGTAGGTTCCTCCTCAGTCTTCTCCTGGGCGGATTCCTTCTCAGACTTCTCAGGAGTGGGTTCCTTCTGAACCGCGTCACTGTTCCATCGCCGCTGAAACGCAAGCCGGGGAGACGGGCGGGTCAATCGCAACGCCGAAGGAGTAACAGTGGCAATCGATCGTGGCTTCGCAAGAAAGGGTACTGAGGAAGACAACAGAAGGCGGCGAGCCGCCGGACGAAGGGAATACCTGCAATGGACGTGTTAGTTTGTGTAGCAATTTGCAGCATGTGACGGACTTGCATCTCTGTTGAGATAAAAAGCAAAGGAGGAAAAGAAATCTTATAAGGAAAAAGAAATCAATCAATTGTCGTAAATTGATTGATGAAAAGTACAGAATAGAAGAGAACGGACAACGATACAAGTCGTTTGCGATTGATGGGGATTCGAAGTACCATTGGACTCTTGAAGCTTAGGGAAAAAGTTCAACAACACCGGCTTATCGCGAACCTTCTGACAGGTCACGTGGGAGGGCCTATCAACACCAGTCTAAGAAAACAAAATGCAGTAGATTACAACATACGAGTACTGGTTTTAATCATAGATTGAGATTGAGAAGAGATACCATTTCAAAGAGCCCATCCTGTCGTCCTATCCCATATCACCCCAATTAGTCATTCAGAACCACAATCATACGTACCGTACATGCTATGACCCTCCCTCTAGTTAACAGTACAAATCCCACGACATGCTAAATCTTAACAACCACCCATAAACTTGGCACACCAACTAATGTACAAGCATTGAAGGTATTATCGTTTTGTATTCCCACATAAACCATGCCTCTCATGTTCCCATTTTCACATGTCATTGCGATCTCTCATATAGTACGCTCTTCTTTCTTTTTTTTATTCCCAGAAAAAAAAAAGCATTTCCAACAGAAACGTCAAATCGGGGTATCAGAGAATTCAACAGGTTGGATGACGTTTAACAACACAAGCGAAGTTAAATTGCGCCTGGACCTCTCCCATTTTGTTGCTGCTCGCTTTGTTGGTTAGGTTGGCCGGTATTGTTGTTGTTCCCATTGACATAGAGTGCAGGGTCAAAGTTAAGCCCGGATTCCGTAGGGAGGATTCCTGATAGACGATTTCGCGCCCTGATAGGATCTAGCGGCACGCTGCGGCCACCCGAAAGTGGTGCCTGGTTGAGTGGAGATGGTGCTGGAGACTGTTGCTGTAAGTCGAACATTGGCCACAACGAGTTAGGGTTATCGGCAGTCGAGTTCTGGATATAGCTATCCCACGCGTCCTATTGACTAGTTAGTAGACTCTTATGAGCTTGTCATCGAAGACAAACGTACCCAGTCCAGATTCAACGGTTGCATATCAGGCGCCTGCCCAAACATGCCAAAAGGTGAAGACAGCCCCATGGGGTCCGTCAGTGACCCAAAAGTTCCCTGCGGCAAGGATGTCTCCGCGTTCTTGAAAGGTGTCTCTGTAAAAGACGTGGGAGCGGTATTTTGCGGACTCATGCCACTGCTTAATAATCCAAGTGTCATCGCGGCATTTTGCTTCTCATCAGACTCTTCGAACATTGGTGCGTTGGCACCCGCATCGGCGGTATTTTGAGGCGTGTAAGTCAGCTTCGCGATCATCACGCCCAAGAGGCCTGCGGCCTTGTACGCTTCCAGAGACTCGTCACGCAGCTCTTCCCAGATCTCCCGCGAACGCTGGATGGCTGCGAGCATCTCGTCGCGTCTCTCTCGGCCCCACGTATATACGTCTCCTGATGGGCGACCAGCCGCTTGTAATTGGAGCCCATGATATAGATCAAGGCAGACGATGGTCGCAGCAAGTAAGAAATCGCTGGTATTCAACGAGCAGCCTCGATTCCTACTTCGCAAGCGACCACCTGGACGGAACTCTTTGTGAAGTATTGACTGGTATCGTAATAATTCCATTGATGAGTCAATGCAGGTCCGTCGAGAATGCGTGAAACGGGGATTATCCCGGGCGCGTGCGATGTAACGTCGGTGCAGGACACATTGAGCTTTATGATACACGCTTTGGATCTGCGACTTGTCAGGACGATATCTCTAGAAAGAAAAGAGGTATAGAGCATGGAAGGGACATACATGGAACCTCGCCATGATTACATCAGCGGGATCATGTTGACATTCCTCGAGGGGACGGACCGTAAGGTGTTCAGGGATCAGATCCCGGGCCCGACGGAGTTCGTTGTCGATGTCCATCACGATCTCATAAGAAGGAGTCTTCACAGACGATGTATGCTCGATGACACGGCCAAACGCGTACGCTAAACGGGCTTTAGCAATCAGGTAAGAGACGGGCGTCGGCTCGTTGTTGGGACGCGACGGCGGGAGTTCCTTGCAATCGGGATCGAAGTCCTCGTCATACAGATTCCGCGGAATCTCGGTATCAGAGTCACCTGAGCGTAGCATACTGGGAAGCCCGACCTGAGACGAGAAGAGGAGGTCGGTCTGCCGCACATAGGTCCATACCCGTCTCCGCATTTCACCCTGGAACGGTGTGATATTAGGGAACATTTTCGAATCCCGATGATACCCCATCCGCATGGCCAATCGCGCAATCACACCGATGAGAATCCACACAGACACATCAGCTTCCTTTGTTTGGCTGTAATCAGCGTGAAGGTGGAGAATCAACGTCTCAATCAGATAAGGGTAGGGCTTGGTATAGTCAGCCAGGATGAGACATTGCGCCACCAAATTACGAAAATTCCTAGCCATGTCCAGAGACTTTCCTCGGAACTCAGGCGGTTCATCCCCATCCTGATAATAAGATAGCATAGCCAGTCGCATCATCGCAAAGAGCAAGCCGATCCAGACAATGCAGGTTTTCGAGGGGTCTTTCCAATGTTCGCTGTACTGCAACCGAGTTAGCAATGCAACCTATGCACTTTAATTAGGCTTTTCTTACCTCTTTCTGGAACGTTGGGACATGTAGAATGTCTGATACCCAGTCAGCTGAATCATCGCCGGAAAGGCAGACATTACGACTTACGAGTCCCTGGGCTGTAGGTGTTGAAATAGCGAGCTATTAACATGTCCGTCGTGTATCTCGATGGGAAAGACGCCATGATTTCTGCCTTGCTGGCAGGTTTCATGGAGCCGAAAAGCAAGGTCGATGGGTCCGGTTCGGGTCTGGAGGCTTTGATCTTCTGCGCCTGCTCCTCGTACTGTTTCTTCGTGTTTGCAAAGTATTGACGAACTTCTGCTATCTAAGAGTTGTAAGCAAAAACGACTTGGCAACACTGACGCGTCATCGGACTTACATCATTCAAGACGGCTGCCCAATGTGCATCGCTGATGTAGAACGATTTGTTGTTGTCTACTTTCATCACACCAAAAGACTTGGTGACCTGCTCCGTTTCGCTTTCGTCCTGGCCGTCGGCCCCATCATCGTCCTGGTCGCGATCCTGGGAATTCCGACCGGAAACGACACTGTCATTATTCCCAGAAATGGCGGCCATCGCGGCAGCCGGACCGGCAGACTGAGCGCCGTTGGTCATGAGTGACAGGACCAGACTTTCCAGCCTATCTATCCTGTTCTGCATATCGTCCGGGGAATTAGAGGTATTTTGGTTTAATGTGTTCTTCTTCCGGGTCCCCGGCTGTGCATATGTACATGAAGGGGCATCTCCCCTCTTGACACAGTTCTCACACGGATTGGCGCGGTTGCATTTCAGCCTGAGTAAAAACACAATCATATCAGCACATGTGAACATGCATATTGGAAGACATAGAAAATGGCAATTTCAGGGACTCACTTCCTCTGTCGGCAGGGTGCGCAAGAAAGAGGTATTCGGTTCCTTTTCCTGATCACTCTGAACTGGCCTTCCGGTGAACGGGCCCCGCCGCTGGATGATGTAGTAGATGGTGGTGTCGGAGACATTTTAGATAAAAATGGGAAGGGAGAATTGTTGAGATATAGCGATAAGGAGTGTATGGAGGGGGGAAAAAAATAATGGAAGACGAAACCAACGTAATGATCTAATGATCGGGTCCTGCCACAGTATCACCCAAGCAAGCTAGACGACGACAAACTGAACCGCGATTGTCGCCCCTTTGAAAGCAGATATCTCAATCTGCGATCAAATGGCCGCGTCTTGCTGAACGGGAGGTCTCCTGGCTCACTTCGAACCTGTGCTCGTCACGGGGCGATCGCAACGAGTGGAAGGCCAAGTTGAGTTGCAAGCACCGGCGATCGTTTCTGATCACCGTTGACGGGCAGTGCAATCTCAGGCGGCAGTATCTGGACGCGAAATCACGCGAGTCGGCTCTGTGTGGGAAGAGATGGCCAGAATCCCGTGTGACAGTGCCTAACGTTCTCGTAATGAGGTCCGCGACGCGCCGACGGCTTCGAGACGGGAATCACTCCTGGCTGTATTACCCAGCTGGGAGTCGAGAAGATGGAAAGACAACCGGAACCGCGTCTGTCAGATCTAGTTTCACAAAATATTAGCATCAGAAGGAGCAGGGCGGAGCAATGCGGGGCGGTGTCGTCGTTGCGCTTCTACCAACCTGGGGGGCCCAAGATGTCTCGAGGACGGTCGTCAAGCGGTGGGAGCAAAGTCGACTGACGCCAAGCAAGTTTTTCGCTGCAGACACCTCACGCGATTCGCAAGACTGAAGCGACGCCAGCGCAGTCCTCCCACGATGAGACTGAAGGGCTGTCAACCGAAACCTGGGAGCCAGAGGAAACCACCTGGTCGTGCCTCCAAGGCGGCGTATCACCCAAAGAGGTCCCTCTGGGCCGCCGTAGCAGTGCGGCAAAGAGCTACCACGAGAGGCACGAACAATCCTGTCTGAGCACTGCAACGCAACAGCAGAAGGCTCCTCAGCCTTTTTATACTTGGCCGGGCATGTACTAGAAGTTTGCCCTTGCTGCCAAAGCGTCCTATGGTCTACGATGTGCACTAAGATCTGCACTATTACAGCACTCGTCCTTCTGCTCAGTCGAGGTACAGCACCTTGGTCCGGAGTACACGTACTGTCCTAGATCGAACCTGCAACTTGTGAATCGACCCTTCAAAAGAATATGGAGCCGTAGCAGTCTCGCTGCAAGCTCCCTCGGCACACTCTGCTGGATTCCCTCCCACACAGTCGCTGTTGGTGTACTTTTTCTGCCAGTCACCCATGACAGCTGCCAAGCCTCGAGCGGAAAGCTCTAGACGGCGTAAGCCTGATTACTAAGCTGGAGAGTGTTCTCTGCGCGTCTTGCAGCGAGCAGTGGAGGCACGGGGCTGGAATGGGATCAGGCAACCATGGATCGTTGATTGAAGCTATACTGTGCGTGGGCTGGTCTCGATGCTCGTTGGTGGAGGGTTGCTGCCTGTGAGTCATCTCGCCAAAGATCCAATCTCTCCTTCTCCACTGCTCCGGCGCTTGCGGAGCCAAGAAGGTTAAGACGGAGAGAGATCATTGATCCCTGCGGATTTCATCGTCGCCTAGCTACCAGCTACCCCTCATCGTTCCCAAGCCTAAGTTGCATATCTGCAATACTCTTTACAGATACGTACTGCCTGTTGCATTATTACTGGCCAACTCATTGCTCCAGGGTGGCTGCCACGACGCTGTGTGTGATTTGTCCAGGATATACAATCCTCTGTCGACGAATGGTGGGGTAGATAAAGAAAGAGCCTGACCCCTCCACTGTTTCCTTCTTTCAGCCTGGTGCTATACACGGGCCTAGAATTGACCTGACTATCTCAAGACATCTCTCTATTCTCTGAGATCCACCGGCAATGTCGAGCAAACAAGGACGCGGAGACTCCTCTCAAAACCGCGGCCGTGGGAGTGGACGCGGCGGCGATCGCGGCAGAGGCGATCGCGGCAGAGGTGGTGGTCGGGGTGGAGGCCCTTCTGAGGCCCCAGCGACTATGGAGATTCCAATTCGATCAGGTCCTCCCCGAGGTCGCGGCGATCGAGGCGGTAGAGGTGAGTTCAGAGGTCGAGGCGGCGACTCGAGAGGACGAGGTGGGAGAGGGGACTTCCGAGGCAGAGGCTCTGGTAGAGGTCGAGGCCAGGCCAGAATTTACACGTGAGTGGAGTTCATCCACAGGCATCAAGCATCATTGTGAAATAACATTAGCGTGCAGGGCTCCTGGCGGTGTCCCCGAACCCGATCTCGAAGTCGAGAAGATTGAGAATCGCATCGAGAACGAGGTTTTGAAGACGAAGCCTGCTGGTTCCGATCGTGGGAGTCTGTTTCCTCTTCGTCCAGGATTTGGAACTCAAGGACAGAAGGTGCTTTTGTATGCGAACTACTTTGAGTTGTCCACCGACTCAAAGCAGGTTCTGTTCCGCTACAACACGGAGATCCTGCCGGACCAAGCCGGACGCAGACCATCTCAGAGGAAGGCAAAGCAGATCATCCAGCTATTCCTCGACCAGCATCTGCTTCAGTACCAGAATAGCATCGCCAGCGACTACAGATCAACTGTAATCTCGCAGATCGAGCTTCCTCTGCAACCGGGAAGTTACGACGTTCAATGCAGGGCTCCAGACGAAGATGAACCCCCCGCGAACCCACAGATATACCACGTTCGCCTTCAGTTCACCGGAAAGCTTATGGTATCGGAACTCCTGGATTACCTGACCTCGTCAAACGCGAGCGCCGTTTTTCAATCAAAGGAAGAGTTGCTTCAAGCCCTGAACATTGTGATGGGACAGTACCCTAAAAAGGAACCACTTATCGCCTCCGTTGGCGCCAACAAGCATTTCAGCTTGCAGCCAGATGAGCAAGACAGACTCTCTCTTGGTGGAGGATTGGAGGTGCTGAGGGGTTTCTTCGTCAGTGTTCGTGCTGCAACCGCGCGGCTTCTTGTTAACGTTCAGGTGAAAAACATCGCCTGTTACGAGGCAGGAGAATTGAAGGCACTAATCGGTGCCGTCAACCTCTCCAATACTTACAAGCTCGAGGGTTTCCTCAAAACCCTACGCGTACGTGTTACACACCTCCAGTCTAGGAAGCCTCGCATCAAATCGATCATCGCCCTTGCGACTCCTAGAGACGGACGAGATTTACCTCACCCCCCCTAGGGTACGACAGCACGGTGCCGGCCCGCGACATGTGGAATTCTGGCTTGAGAGTCAGGGCCCGGGCCAAGGTTCCGGTGAACAGTCCAGCAGTAAGGCTAAAGGGAAAGGCAAGAAAGGGAAGAAGCCGGCCAAAGCTGGACCAGAACAAGCAGGAAGATATATCAGTGTTGCAGACTACTTTTTGCAGAGTAAATCAACCCTCCTGTCAGATTTTCATGACTAATGAATACAGCTAATGAAAATAAAACACAGAACACAACATCGCGTTGGATCCAAATGTTCCGGTCATCAACGTTGGAACCCGCCAAAATCCCTCGTACCTGCCGGCAGAAGTGTGTATTGTTGAACCGGGACAGCCTGCAAATACGAAATTGAGTCCTCAGCAGACTCAGAAAATGATTCAGTTTGCAGTGCGCTCACCAGGGGAGAACGCCGATTCCATCGTGAATAATGGCACCCAAGTACTCGGCATTCAGCCTCGACTTAACGATATACTTGTGAGTGATACTTTAATACCCGCCAAATACTACAGAGTGACTGATTGAATTTAGTCCACCTTCCGTCTGACGCCGAAAGCGGGTTTAATCACGGTTCCAGGCCGTATTCTTGACGCTCCCCGTGTCTCTTACAGGGGGCAGAAAGAGATTACGCCCTCGGATGGAAATTGGAACATGCGCAGCATTAAATTCGCCAGGGCCGCCCAGCTGCCATCCTGGACATACCTCATCCTGGATTCGGCAAGGACGACGAAGTTCTGGCCATCCAAAGAGGCTTTCACGGGCACACTGGGCGAATTCAGAAGTAAACTGGTCGAGTTGGGGATTGAAGCGTCACAACCGGTGGACGGAGCCCAAGTCCCCTTCGCACCGAACGATAGCGAGACGGTAGTCAAGGAGAAGATCGAAAAGGCCGTCAATGACCTTGTTGAAAGGGTGAACCCTCGTTTTATTCTCGTCGTTCTGCCCGCCAGGGACACGGTTCTGTATAATCACATCAAGCTCGTCTGCGACGTCAAAAAGGGAGTCCGTCACGCCTGCGTGCTGGCCGAGAAGTTCTCCAAGCCCCGGAATGACCAGTACTTTGCTAACGAGGGGCTCAAAGTCAATCTGAAGCTTGGCGGGGTGAATCAGCTTTTGTCGGATAGTCAGCTTGGCATCATCGCACAGGGACGGACCATGCTTGTCGGGATCGATGTCACTCACCCGTCGCCGGGATCGGCGTCATTCGCTCCCAGTATCGCGGGCATCGTGGCGTCGGTGGACCGCCAGCTTGGTCAGTGGCCGGCTGATATCAAGATTCAGGCCGCGAGGCGAGAAATGGTGGCCGACCTCGATGCTCTACTAAAGTCTCGTCTCCAACTCTGGGCCCAGCACAACAAGGGCGCCTACCCGGAGAACATCATTGTCTATCGCGACGGGGTTTCGGAGGGGCAGTACGAAATCGTTCTCGAGAAGGAACTGCCCCTGCTCAAGGAGGCGTGCAGAGAGGTGTATCCTGCATCCGACACGGCCAAGGGTCTGCCTCGAATGTCGATCGTCGTGGTCGGCAAACGACACCACACGCGATTCTACGCCACCACCGAGGAGATGGCGGACGAGAGGTCCAAGAACCCGCCGAACGGCACCGTGGTCGACCGCGGCGTCACCGAAGCCAGGAACTGGGATTTCTACCTGCAGGCGCACAAGGCACTGCAGGGCACCGCTCGCCCAGCGCATTACTTCGCGGTCTGGGACGAGATCTTCCACAAGCAGACGCCGCGACAGCCATTCCTCAACGCGGCCGACATCCTCGAAGATCTGACGCACCGGCTGTGCTACCTCTTCGGCCGCGCGACCAAGGCCGTCAGTATCTGCCCGCCAGCGTACTATGCCGACCTGGTCTGCGAACGGGCACGCTGCTACCTCAGCCACGTCTTCGACGCGACTCCGGAACAGACTCCTGCCAGCAGCGTCATTGAGGGCGAGGGACGTGAGCAGACGCCGGACTTTAAAGACGTCAGGATCCACCAGAACGTGCGCAACGCGATGTTTTACATTTAAGTGGGCGCCTATTTTTCCAGGAAGTCCATCTCAACCCAAGAATTTTGGAAAAAATATCAATGGATTTGAGAAAGAGATCTACAGAAATTAATTTTAGGATACATTTGATTTGATTTTATTCAATTTATTTGTTTTGTTTATTCCTATTCCTTCCAAAACAGCCTGTCCATTTCAATTTAATTCTTATCATTATCATCACCGTCCCAGAACGAGAAAGCAGAAAGCAGGAAAGAGAAAAGACAGCATTATTAATTGATTGATTAATTGATTGAAGGTCGATTGTGCAAGACGGAAGAGATGAGATGAGATGAAGATCACAAACAAATTGTCGTTGGTGTAGTATGAGTTTGGGGGAGATATTATTATTATTTTTAAAAAAAATCATCTTTATCATCTTTTCAGGGGTTTATTAGCTGTATATTGTATTCAGCAAGCTGCTGGAACTGCCACGGTAAAATAAATAAATCTACATCGCCTTGAGGCACCAGTCAGTTTAAATAATTAACTTCCTTCCCTCCCCTCTTACTGCTTATTAGCAAGTGTAAGATTTCGATTGTCTGTCGGTTATCATCACCCTTTGTAGTTTTGCAGTCCATTACCATTACCACGAGCATGCTGAAGAAGGAATAATATTATGCCGCTGGGAATACTCTGCTCTTTTCTGTCCTACTCAAATCTGACAACTTACATTCACTTCTTATCAAACACTTGAAATTACAAGCATACAGACATACATACATACATGCAGACATACATACATACAGGGTTGATGTATAGAGTAGAGTAGAGTAGAGTACAATCTCATTCTGAGGTTCATCCTGGCTGACTGTCACTGATTGTTGGGTTGGGTTGAATGAAAACTTAGGGGCAACGAGCACAGCAGAGGGATGTTTTCGCTCACATAGTAGTAAGTATGTGTGCATGCATTGGGGAAAGAAGAAACAATGTACCATCAATCAATCATTTGATAAGTAGTAACAGACTAGCAGTAGTGACAGCATACATACATCACACAAGAGTGTAAGCAATTTGTACAGGGTAAAAGCCAAAAAGACAGGGTGGGGGAAAAAATGAAAATAATTGAGATGAATACAATAGAAATGAAAATAAAAGAAAAGAAAATGAAATAAAAGGCGGGGGGAAAGGAGTGCAAATCAGACACAGCGATTGCCACCATTATCATTCATCAATCATCGCTTGTTCGTCATAAATGGATCTTCTTTTTTTTTATGTCCTCCATTTCCCTCTTTGATCTCATCACCCATCTTTCATTTCACACGGACAGCCGTGTCAGTAGATGGAAAGACGACTGACTGATATTGTATACACAACTCATTAGGCCTCATGTTAGAATTTATCGATCTGGTAAAAAAAATGAAGCTGTGGCCATTCTGAAACAACCGTTGCAATTTGTTCCACAAACTATTAGACATTGCCGTATTGGTAGTTTGGACTTGGGAGAAGGCGGAGTATCATTCCCCTCAAACTCGACGTTGAGTTTCCAGTCGTGTCACGTCTAAATATCCTCGTCGCCGAATGCAAAGCTTCTCTGGTTCACATTGCGGCTAACGCGCTTCGCATAAGCAGTCGGGACATCTTGCTTCGGTTCCGGAGACTGGTCATACGCATCCCAAGACGCGTCCATCATCTTCACCGCTTTGATGCGGTCGCTGCTGATGTGTCGATTCTGGACTTTCGTCTCCCCCTCAGGTGGTGAAGCGTCAGAGATCGACCAGTGGCTGTCAAAGTCCTTCTTGCGATGAGCTCCGTTCGGATGGACACCCACCGGAGCGGTCTCGGCGGTCTCGTTAGGAGTAGGATTGCCCTCCTCATCGTAGAGGTTGTTCTCGTAAAGTCCCAGTCCCCTGTTGTGCGCAGATCCGATGATTTTCTTGGGCGCAGGCTCAGCGGTTTGCACGCCGTCGTCTTCGAACTGGAAGTGCGTCTCAGCATCGCGTCGTGGGTGAGCAACACGGGGCCGAGCCGGTGGGGTATCCTGAACATCATCCTCGTTGTCACTCCAGCCGAAATGGCGGACATCCTGACCACGGACTTTACCCCGGGGCTTCTCGGGGGTGCTGAAGTCTGAAAAGTCCCATTGAGACAGATGACGTGATTTCGGACGTGAAGGAATAGACTTGATCTCCCTCTCGCCGTCATTGTTGTCGCCTAGCTCAAAATGACTGAATTTGTTGGGATGAGGCTTGTACCGGGGCTCCGGTTTCTGCTCGCCTTGTTCTCCAGCGTCCGCGTCGTCCTCATTAAACAAACGGTTAGGCTGAAAGTTCTTGCCTGACCCGGCCTTGGGTGGCACAACGCCTTTCGATTGCTCTTCAGCGGCGACCTTTTCATCGTCGTCGAACAAACGGTTAGGCTGGAAGTTCTTCCCCGCTCCGACCTTGGGAGCCACGACACCGTTCTTGCCTGGGGAGCTGTCCTTTGTAGGAGTGGCATCATTCTCGGCATCTCCGACGAACAGCTCATTGTAGTCACGCGGCGGAGGCTTCGCAGAGGCAGCGGCGCGCGGCGGAATGACGGCTGGCGGAGCTTGTTCATCCTCGGCGCCATTCGAAAACAAGGACAACGACGCGTGAGGGTCCTTGAGAGGCTTAGTGGGAGAGACAACCGTGCTGCTCTGCGTGGGAGGGGTGACTGTGCCGTGAGCGCCAGAAGAGACCGTGGTAATCAATCGTGTCTGGTCCTGCGCGTCGCGAATCGGCCAGTTGCGCCCACGGGCGCCAATGACATCGACCTGCTTCAGCAACGATCCTTGGTCCCAGTAGAGTCTGATCTGTTGGATCTGGTTCTGCGCGTCGAAGCGAACAATATGGACCTGGACGAATCCGACATGAGCAACGCTGCAAGAGCCAGGCCAGGAAGACTACCTACCGTGGGGAAGGTCACGACGCGGTCGGCCAGGAAATTATCATCGAGAGAGGGGAGATAAGCCCCGCCTCCAGAGACAAACTCCAAAGTAGTCTCAACATCGAGAACGAGCGCACCAGTGGCCTCGATGGCACTCAGTGTCTTGTCCGACTTTTTCTTGACAATCTTCTGCTGGCTGGACAGATGCTTCAGGACCGCATCTGCGCCATTAAACACGGTTGTCGTGGTAATGTAATTCAAGGAGACATCGGGGCTGAGCGCAGCAGAGTTCGGATCCGCAAGGAATCTCTCATAGATGGCCTTGAGAGACATTCTGGCGCGCGAACAGCAGGCAGTCGCAAGCGGATGCGATTGTTGATGCTCCTCGGAATCGCAGTCACAGCAGCGGGGTCAACGCAGAAGAGCGTGACAAAGAGTGTCGAGGGGATGGGTAGGTCGACAGGGAGCACAGGTGCTCGCTCTGGATAATTGTAACCCGTGCTTTGGAGATGCAGGACGAGGTGCTGAGGTTGCAGGGTGTTATTTAGGGGAGGACCTGGAGCCGTTTTCTTTTGGGCTGCTTAACTACCTAAACGCGGTATTCCACGCGCAGGCCGGCACTGCAAACAAACGCAGCCGTGCCCGGCGCAGCCCCCAGAAGGGTCTGGGGCTTTGCGTATTTGCGCCCGCTTTGTCCCGTGAAGCAGGAACAGACTCCGGCAAAGGCCGCCAGTGTTTCATCTTGCGCGCCTAAGCAAACGCCCGTCCAGAGGTGTTCCTGCCCCTGTGGATACTCCCACTGTTTTACACACTTTATTCACATGTGGCCACTGCAGTTTTCGAGGCTCTGCTTAATGCGATTGTTCACCGTTTGTGAGCAGCTACAGATAAGCAGATATCCTATCTAGGAGGGCAAATCTCTAGCTAGGCATTCTAGGCCTTTCCCCTCGGAATAATTGGAGGATGGGTCGGCCCACCAGCCAAAATTAGACGGGTTTGGATCTGCAGAACTAACTACCTAGTAACTGCCAGACATTCACCCTGCCCGCGTTCTCTGCGCATTGGTCACTCTGCAGCCGGTGTCCTCACCACCACCACAGTGCAGGGCCCTTGGCAAGTGATGAGAAATGTATCTCCTATGATGTGAAAAATACTCTCCGCGATCTGTGGAGAGACATATTGGACAATTGAGCCATTACTGCTCGACCAGATTGATCCCTTAAAGTGTTCTGCAAATTGTTAGTTTCATCACAGGGACAGGATCTTGTCGGCCAGGGAATGGGCCCGTACCCTAGATAATCTTCTTTGATGGTCCCAATAGCATTGATGTTGGATACATCTGGTTTCACACCCAGAATCTTCAGTCGAAGGCTGGTTCCCTTCTCGATTACTTGATCCGCGTGATCGGTGTATTGTGGAGGATTGGCGCCAGGTTCCCATTTGATATCCGAAGGAATGTTTTTCCGCGCAATGAAGACAGACAACGGGCCAGCGAGCGTGAAAATACCTGTAGGTTTGACAGAGGTCACAATAGCATCCACCTAGCATCAAGTATTAGTGGACAGGCAAAACGCATAGCCCTCGAGGGATAGATACCGTTTCTCCCCGGAAAGGCTTCCAGATGATCGCGCGATATTTGATGGTGTACTCAGCAGCTCCGCTGCCAGGAATCACTCTTCCTTCGCCTATATCTACCATATCCATGACGCAAATGACGAAGTGATCGCCCGTACATCTTCCTTCTTCCTCTTCGTTCAGCCGGTTGACGAGGTATTCTTTGACATTCGGGCCGAAGTAAGACGGGTGCAGGACGACGACCTTGGTTTCTTCTTTGAGGAAAAACATGGTGGTGTCTTGTCGAACACAGTAAAAGATACCCAGAACCGCGACAATAGAATGTACAGGTCTATGGATTCGGAGGCAGTTTGTGTGAGTCTTGCGTCGAATGTCGCAGGTTCAAGCTCGTCCGCAACTCGAAGGCTCCGCGGTGAAATGCCAGCCTCGCGAAGAGATGATATAAAACACAGCGATCGTAGTTATTTGATAAATTCAAGAGGTTTCAAAGAGCCCGCGCCCGCTTCTTAGCTCCGAGAACCTGGGTCAGTATGCCATAATCATAATGCTCAAGAAAATTGCAAACGAAGGGCTCCCAAAATCAAGGGAGGAGGGAGAGACACAGCGCTGCAAATTCTCACGACTTCTCCTTGGCCGTAGACTCCACGCCCTCCGTCACTGCATCTAGTGTTGAGTGATTTATTGACCTGTGTTGGCCCTTTGTCCATCAATAATGCCATCTCCGTACCTAACGGACTGGATAATCTATGTTCCGACACAATCACATGATATGTTCCCCAAGGCAACAAGGCCTACAAACTGGTTGCCTGAGGCCTTCTAAGGACCTAGGTAACTGCTACCGTAGTACTCTAAAGTTACTACAGAGTACCGTGCATTGTTCAGTTATATTCTCCACCGATATTTCTTCCTGCATGCCTAAGATACTATATAACTCCACACTCGGGGTTACCTCTATATATTAGTTGTAATAAACACATACCGCAGGCGAGGTGCAAGCGCTATGCAAAAATAAGGTGGTAGTAGCGTAAGGCGATACACATATGATCCGCGGATATATATTAGACTATTATTATTCCTCTTAAGGCCTACTACGGAGTAATGTTCTAGTTATGAGAAGGTGAGGGGTTTAAGGCATTTGACACATGTTTGGCGCAGGACCTCGGGACTCGGCACTGCTTACCTACAACGTACAGTACTATGCTACTTCCAAGCAATGACTTCATTAGGCTGCATCCACCCACTTACCGCCCCATCTCATGCAACACAACTTATTCTGCTACCAGCTCTTTTTATAGGGATCAGCTTACCCCGGATTATTCCTATCTTCATAAAAGCTAATTGTCCTTTCCTTCCTGTGGGCCGTCTATTTCGAAGTACCTACAGTTTGAGTTGACCCATCTGAGAGCTTCCGAGAATCAAGCCACCATGGCGCTCAACCTTGAGAAGCAACTCGTCTTTGTAAATCCCCTTCTTCTGAGATGAGCGAGAGTGCAAATCTGACAGCTACTAATTCATGTTTATAGTATGGCGCCTACCATCATAACCCTGTAGGCTTGCCCCTCTTCTCTATCGGTCTGTGTCGGCGCGTATCGCTCACACGTGCTTTCTCCAGATTAACATCTCCATCCACATGACGTGTGTCCCAATTATCCTGATGACCGCGATACAGATAGTAAGGCGAATCCATAAATCCAGTCGCTGATTCCAGCTAATACGATCGCATTGCAGGCCAGCAACAGCCCTACTCTGATTTCTTTGCCCGATTTCCTTCAGATTCAGAACCTCCCTCCCAATCTTGGGACGATCGTCGCTTTTGTCTATGCGTTTGGTTACCTCCTATTGGAGCCCGTTGCCGGCGCAATTCTCGCTCCGTTGCTGATCGCCGGCACCGCATTCATGAACCATCTTACGAGCACTTACGGGACGACAGCGACGTACTGGGCTGCCGGTCTCCACGTGGTGTCATGGTTGGCTCAATTTCTCGGCCATGGTCGCTTTGAACGCAGAGCGCCGGCGTTGCTGGACAACTTGGTTCAGGCATTATTTTTAGCTCCGCTCTTCGTGTGGATGGAATTCCTTTTCTTTCTCGGATACCGTCCGGAGTTGAAAGCCCGCCTGGATCAGGCAGTGGAGAAGGAAATCGCTAAATTCAAGAAAGGTTAAAAGCACGGTTGTTTAACCAGAATGTGGCCTGCTGAAACCAGGTCAGTTGTTATGGATCTCTGGTCAGGTATATCTGCACAAGGCGTATCAATGGATCGGTGTACCATACAAAGTGGATGACAGGATGAGAATATCCCAACATGAGGATTAGGGATGATGACGGGTCATGACGAAGACATTCTGTTGGACGTTGCTTACCAACGAACTCATGTTGTCCACCTCAATTTACCTCTAACGCAAGCCTAAAAAAGCCGGTATGACAGGTGGTTCAGCACGTGCAGCGAGCCTGGAAAGACAATATAATGTATAATAGTGAGCAGGAATCAAGTCGTATAGGAAGCCAGGCCCAGCGGAAGGGTCTCTGGTTGAAGAATGAACAGCACGCATTATCTCCAATCGTTGCTTCAGCTGCTCGAGACTACTCCATAGCATCGATCCATCCTTCTACTATGATCGTTTCGGCTGGAATATTGGATAAACTGACACTCCTGCTGTTGACTGAGTTGTCATATTGCCGCATAAAGCACTACTTAAGGTCTATAGTTGTTGTCAGCAGCCATGAATGGGTCCGTTGCCAAAAATGCACCAATTGATTTGTTCGATTCCCATATTGGCGGTGACAACAGTCATGCAAATAAGGATTTCAATTTTCGGACTGCGTTACTCTGGCGAGTACACGAGTCTCCACTGGTTGATCACCGCAACCGGTTTTGGGTGAAGGATTGCATGCCTGACGTGCCAGGCATCGAGTTCTGTTTCCATGAGGCCTTAGTCAGCCGATCTGGTCCGCAAATCCGAACGCCCGGATGGCCAAGTGTCCCGAATTATTACCTCAGGCGGGTCCCCCTTCCAACACCAGCCCCCCGAACATAGACGGCAGATTCGCTTCATGGTAGAATTGAACCTTAGAAAGAAGAAGGAAAATAAAATAATACACGTAGCATCGTACAGATCGTGTCGAATTCTCGAGCACCCGTGCCAGAGCTAGTGGGTGAACACGGCTCGCACTAAGGGCCGATTCGGAGCCACTGGGGCGTCTCGGCAAAACTGGGTTTAGCCTCGTCCTGGCAACCTCCTCCCAGACGACAAAGCTCTCCTTCGCTCATCCACAATCCTCTCCCTTCAACCACCCTTCCTCCCAATTGCATATCTCCTCCAGAGAAAACACTCTCTACTCCCTCTGAACCTCGTGCACAATGTTCAGAAACGCTCTGCGGCAATCCAGCCGCACCGTGGCTGCCGTTTCTGCCACTGGCAGACTCGCCTCGGTGAGTTCAACCCCTGCCAACCCGACCGTACCGTCGCCAGTCAGGACAACACCACCGCGAAGCTGCAGCCAATGTCCTCGTCGATGGACAGTCTGGGCCATAAAATACCCTTTACTATTGTTGTGACGCGTGCCAGGTCAAGTATGTCGACGCTGACAAATTTTTCTGTTCGCTCTCCAGGTTCGCGCGGCTACTCCCGGTCCTCTCGCTGCTGCCTCTAAGCAGGTTCGTTCCTATGCCGCAGAGGCCAAGGCCTCCCCCACCGAGGTCTCCTCCATCCTCGAGCAGAGAATCCGTGGTGTTCAGGAAGAGGCTGGTCTTGCCGAGACTGGACGTGTCCTCTCCGTCGGGTATGGGCCCTCCACTCACCCGATTCAATCATCACAAATTGTCGCCATTGCATCAGCTTGACAATCAACGATTATCTGAAAGTGCCATACTGATCAATTGGGGAACAGTGACGGAATCGCCCGTGTCCACGGTATGACCAATGTCCAGGCTGAGGAGCTGGTCGAGTATGCATCCCCCATAGGTCACCTAATGTCGGAATGATCGGTTACTAATTGACATCCAGGTTCGCCTCTGGCGTTAAGGGCATGTGCATGAACCTGGAGGCCGGCCAGGTCGGTGTTGTGCTTTTCGGTTCCGACCGTCTGGTCAAGGAAGGTGAAACCGTCAAGCGAACTGGCGAGATCGTATGTGTCCAGCCTCACGCGCCGAGAAGAGTATCAGGAGGATTAACAAAGTAACCAGGTCGATGTCCCTGTTGGTCCTGAGCTGCTGGGACGTGTCGTCGACGCCCTCGGTAACCCCATTGACGGCAAGGGACCCATCAAGACCAAGGAGAAGCGCCGTGCCCAGGTCAAGGCTCCTGGTATCCTGCCCCGTCGCTCTGTCAACCAGCCCGTCCAGACTGGTCTGAAGTGTGTCGACTCCATGGTGCCCATCGGCCGTGGTCAGCGTGAGTTGATCATTGGTGACCGTCAGACTGGAAAGACTGCTGTCGCCCTGGATGCCATCCTGAACCAGAAGCGTCTCAACAGCACCGCCGACGAGTCCAAGAAGCTCTACTGTGTCTACGTTGCCGTCGGTCAGAAGCGTTCCACTGTTGCTCAGCTCGTCAAGACTCTGGAGGAGAACGATGCTCTCAAGTACTCCATTGTCGTTGCCGCTACTGCCTCCGAGGCCGCTCCTCTGCAGTACATTGCCCCCTTCACCGGCTGTGCCATGGGCGAGTGGTTCCGTGACAATGGCCGCCACGCCGTGATCGTTTACGATGACCTGTCCAAGCAGGCCGTCGCCTACCGTCAGATGTCTCTGCTGCTGCGTCGTCCCCCGGGCCGTGAGGCTTACCCCGGAGAGTATGTTATCCTGACTCCTTACCTTCTTCCGTTGCTAACCTATGAACAGCGTCTTCTACCTGCACTCGCGTCTTCTGGAGCGTGCTGCCAAGCTGAACGACAAGCACGGTGGTGGTTCCCTGACTGCTCTGCCCATCATCGAGACCCAGGGTGGTGACGTGTCTGCCTACATTCCCACCAACGTCATTTCCATTACCGACGGTCAGATTTTCCTGGAGACCGAACTGTTCTACAAGGGTGTCCGTCCCGCTATCAACGTCGGTCTGTCTGTCTCCCGTGTCGGTTCCGCTGCCCAGGTCAAGGCTATGAAGCAGGTCGCCGGTTCTCTGAAGCTCTTCTTGGCCCAGTACCGTGAGGTCGCTGCCTTCGCTCAGTTCGGTTCCGATCTGGATGCTTCCACCAAGCAGACCCTTGCCCGTGGTGAGCGTCTGACCGAGCTTCTGAAGCAGAAGCAGTACTCTCCTATGGCTGTCAGCGAGATGGTTCCCGTCATCTTCGCTGGTGTCAACGGTTACCTTGATGCCTTCCCCGTCTCCAAGATTGGACAGTGGGAGGAGGACTTCAAGGCTTACCTGAAGACCAACCACAACGACATCCTCGACACCATTGAGAAGGAGGGTCAGCTCAGCAAGGACCTGGAGGCTCGCCTCCGCAATGTCATTGAAGAGTTCAACAAGAACTTCTCTTAGGTGAGCAAAAAGACAACGGGGTGATCTATTCGACCATGTACTGTTTTCCTCCTGACACTATGTGTGTATAGACAAGATAGCTTGTGTACAATTTGACGAGTTATTTCCTTTGTGAGCAAAAAAAATCGTGTCAATTCTGGTCCCCGATCTCTCTCAGTATCTCTTCGTGTCTCCGAGTTCCTCTTCGTACTGTAACCATACTATAGAATAGGGTAAGGGGAACGCCCTGCCTGTCATGAAGTTTGACTACATGGAATGAAAATCGGGGGATGGTACGGATGAGCTCGGAGGGAGGAAGGATAAATGCTACCCTGTCATCGTTCATTCTGCTAGGTCTGTCTAATTATTTCCTTTGTTTCTTCATGTTGGTTCTTGTAAAATGCCGCGCTTGTAGGTGCTCTCTCGCTGTAGATTCCACGTAATTTCATCCGCAAGGGTAGACTGAAGTAGCCTTTAGAATTGGAAGTACCCTATCAGTTTCGCAGCATTCTGGGCTTTCATAAATTCAGTATGGTTTGTCGGCATCTAAGGACTGGTTTTCAGGGACAACAAGGGACAATAGATTCAATCAGATTTTGTGTTTTTAACATAATTGGATTTACTCCTTGTGTCAAATTATGTAGCACAATGTAAAATTCAAATTCATTTTGGGTGAAATTTGCTCGCTCTTATCCCAATGCGGCCCAAGTCCGCTCGCGGGATGTCATTTATCGATAAGCGGATCTGGAGCCAAAATTTTATTTATCGGGTCACCCCGCGCTTGACTCACGTTTCATGAAGACCACTTTTGCTCGTTGTCCTTCAGCGATTGAAGTTCTATAATTCCTTACTAAGATGGCTTCCTCGAATACCGATGCGGGCCCGCCATCGTGCAAGGTGGTCCTCGCGCGCAACATCGCCGATGGCCTGCTTAACGAAGTCCGGGAGGGCCTGAAGTCGCTGGAGAAAGGGCCTCACTTGGTGGGCTTTTTGGCAAACAATGACCCGGCCGCGCGCATGTATGCAGAGTGGACTGAAAAGACCTGTCAGGAAAAGTATGTGATCAATTATTTCTTTTTTTTTTCGGGTCTTTTTTATTCCACTTGAGGAAAGCCTCTGGGAATCGCATTTGCGATCTTGGACTTCAAAGCTATCGCATCATGTTTCTTGACATCTCAAACTGCGGCTTATAGCTGACGTTTTTATTCTCTGGCAGTGGCTTTCGTTACACCCTTCGAGAGGTCTCGCGGGACGAGATCGAAGACGCGATCCTTGCTGCGAATGCCGACGACGACGTGGACGGCATTATCGTATACTATCCGATCTTCAACAACCGACAAGACCAATACCTCCAGCAGATTGTGGACGTGTCGAAAGATGTGGAAGGCCTCAGCCACCGCTACGTCTTCAATATGTACCAGAATATCCGCTTCCTAGACCCGGAGACTAAGCGACAGAAATCGATCCTGCCTTGCACTCCGCTTGCGATCGTCAAGATCCTTGAGTATCTGCAGATCTATAACACGATATTACCGTATGGAAACCGCCTGTTTGGACACACCATCTGTGTCGTGAACCGGTCAGAAGTCGTCGGTAGACCGCTCGCGGCACTCCTGGCAAACGACGGTGCCTGCGTTTACAGCGTTGATGTTACTGGTGTGCAGAAGTTCACCCGAGGCGAAGGCATCAGGAAGCGGAGGCATGAGGTCGAGGATATGGAAGGCTGGACGCTCAAAGATGCGGCGCCCCTGTGTGACGTGGTTATCACTGGCGTGCCTGGAGAGTCGTTCAAATTCGACACGAGTCTTCTAAGACCGGGGGCTGTCTGTATCAACTTTTCTAGTGAGAAGGTAAGCCGTTCCTTTTTTTTCGCTTGCAGTTATGAAGTCAGCTCACAGTGCCTCTCCTTTTTTTTTATTGTTAGAACTTCCCACCCGAAGTCAAGGAAAGAGCATCTATCTACGTTCCTTCGATCGGAAAGGTCACGATTTCTGTCCTTCTGCGAAACCTCCTGGTACGTATATTACACTGTTGCCTCACTGGATTGAATCTTCTTTGTTTTCGAACCCACTTCGTCATGTTATGCCTGGCTAACACCGATATCTACCTGCAGAGACTCATACAAAATAAAAGACTGGACGATGTCAAGCCAGCCGCAGCAGTAGAGAAACCCGGCACCCTTGAGGCTCGTGAAGCATGACATAAAACAGATCGTGCTGACTGGTAAAGGTTTGGTTTCGCTCTCCTGCGCAAGGAAAGTATATTGATAGACTCTGGGATAAAGGCAAAAAGAAAAAAAAAGAAAGGGTGAAAAATGTATACATAGAATATTATAGATTCTGTTCAGCGTTTCTATAGTCTATGCTGTGCTTTCTTCTTGGTTCTTCCGTTAGATGAAGACAAATATATATATACCGAGGATAATGAAAATTCAAACTTCTTTGCCATAGTTAATTACTTTCTTCGAGGCTTTTTTCTGTAATCAAACTCAAATTGGTTTTTTTATCCCATCCCATTATGAAAGAGGATGAGTTGGTCGGCAGAAGAGTCTAAATAAATATATATAGTCGAATTCCTGGAATTTTCTTGGCTGCTACCTACTCATTTGCAATATACTACAGGGAATACAATGAGGAGTATACTAAGGACTACAGGAACAACCATGGAGCGATAAAGCACTGATATGGTAAGTAGGGTGGCAGAAGTATATAGGTTAAAAAAAATGCCATACGGTAAGGAGACTATAATATAGAAACAAGTCCATCTACAGAAGAAATAAAAACATTATGGGACAGGGACCAAAGGCCTTTCGCAGATGCGTCTTCTAGGGATCCCAGGTATTTTGTATTTTAAGTCAGTCGAGAGAAACGAGACGTTGAAGGGCTGCATTTTTATTAACTTCTGACCAAACCCGTCCTATGATCAAGGAAGAATCATGAGATTCAATTTGACATCAACATAACGCTGAAGAAAAGGAAAAAAAATACCATAAAGAACTCCTTTTTCCCTTTGTTTTCTTCGGTCTGTACATGCTTCCGATGCCATGCTCTCATTTCTCGATTTCATTTCTTGCCACCCTTCGTTTGTCTGGATTGCTCGTCTATGCCAACGTGACTCGAGAGGCCTCCCGTCTTCTTCGCTGCCTCCTTCGCAGCGAGGCCGAGAATCTCAATCTCACTAGCAAGCCAGCGTCGGAACGGTTCCGGGTGGAAGACGCCGTCGGACGAAAACCACATCGTGAAGGGAGCTTCGATCTCCTTCTCTTGCAAGACCTTATTCGCTGGTGACGTATATTTCACCTTCAGTTTATAGAGCGGCGAGTGTTTCTTCGAGGAGGACCGAATGACGATCTGTCAGGGTAAACATTATCAGCTGTTTAGCCAAGGCAAAAATATGAAAAGAAATGCAGCATCTCCCCATGTTCCCAGAAGCAGAATATAAATGGCGCAAACATACCGTTTCACCGGACTTCCTCTTACCCCGGAATACCTCTCCAGCTTCTACCGCCCAGATCCAGTATGTGAGGATAGAATTCAGGATGAAGTAGGAAACAACAGCGACAGACACCCATGGAGCCTCCGTCGCTTCCCACCCTAGAATCCTATCGACATAAAAAGTAGCGCCTGCAATGGCGACCGCAGTATAGCCTATGATGAAGCGCACATTGGAATTGGTATTGTCTTTGGTGAAGGTGTATGGTTGCGGCAGGGTGGTAAGATACGGCGTGAGCGCATCGTCGGTAGTGTTTTTGAGATCTGGAGGAGAAATTAACATTCAAGGTCTGTCATGACGCTGATAAGAGCAAATTTATCAGGCCATCGATATGCCATGGTTGATTGATAGGGTTGCCGACAGCTGCTCATAAAGATGGAGAGGTGGCACGAACCGTTTCCAGAGTAAACGGGCACCTTTGGTGCCGCTGTTGACGCCATTGGAAGATGAAAAGACACGGAACAGAAGATATGGATTACAGATGTCGGAGAGCGAGAAGTCTCAGTTCTGATGTTGTAATCTGGGAGCTGTAAGCTCTTGAGTAGAAGGGGTGGGATATTGTAAGTTGCGGCGACTTGTCACTTTCTCGGGAAGCTTAAAGCGGCGTATTTACTTTGGGCCCGTCATCCCCTCCAGCCGGTCAGAGCTTCCTTCTCACATCAACCGACTCCGACAAGGACATCTACCTCCTGGGCATTGCCTCTCACGATGGCAGTGCAGGGGTTAGAGCAGACGATCCTTCGGGATCCAGCTCTATAGTGAGTTTTTATTCCTGGCTGACGATATATTCGCTCGAAGTGCTCACAGTTGTCATACTAGCTACTGGATTTTATTTCCGATTACTATTGTCATGGTACGCATTGACAATCTCCCCTTGAAACTCCCTTGACAAACGATGGATCTAACTTGCTTTATAGATTTTGACAGGCATCCTCCGCCATTATGCCACCGTGTTGATGAACAACCCTCCCAAACCCCCGGCCACTCTCGCCGAATCACGCGAACGTTTGTCCCTTCTTCGAGGCGTCAACTTTCGTAACAATGCCTCTGCAGTTCTCACTCCATCTTCCTTTGCTACGCGCAAGGAGTACCTCGTGAACGCCTACCAAAGCGGCGCGTTTCTCAAGGATCCTTCTAGCCGAGGCCAGCCGCCAGCGAATCCTATGACGGATCCAGCGGGCATGGAGGCAATGATGGGAATGATGAAGGGAAACATGATGATGATGATCCCGCAAACGCTGATCATGAGTTGGATCAATGCGTTCTTCTCGGGATTTGTTATCCGTACGTGCTCTAGGGGTTCTGCTAGCAATAGAATGTTCAGTGTATGGAAAGCTGATAAACGTTCATAGTGAAACTGCCGTTTCCCCTTACGATTCGGTTCAAATCAATGCTTCAGTCCGGAGTGATGACCCGTGATCTCGATGTCAGGTGGGTCTCGAGCTTGTCCTGGTACTTCCTGAACTTGTTCGGTCTTCAGTCTGTGTTTGGGTTCATCCTCGGCAGTGACAATGGTATGATTAAAGACATTGTCTTTTCATATGTTTCTTTTTTTGACACTGAGAACTCCTAAGTGCTGACCTTGGTTTTCTCTGACAGCTGCCAATCAAATGACTCAGCAAATGGCTCAAATGAATCCTGCTGCCGCTCCCAATCCCTTCCAGCCCGGACAAGATCCCGACAAACTGTTTCAGAATGAAGCGGAGAACCTTGAGGTTATGGAGCACTACTGTATCCTTGACGGGATTGAGGAAAGACTGCTGCACAACCTCGGTGCGAGTAATTAGGTTCGGAGACACCGCTTACGTAGGTGGCTGCGTGTTTAGCTGATACAGTATTCCGTTTATAAAATTTTAGATTCTGTCATTGGCAAAATTTGGATTACCTACCACGCAAAACGGCGTGAAGGTTCATACCCATGTGACTGTATTATGGATAGACGGAATATTTACTAAGAATACTTGATATGAAGAATAACAATGTTTCCGCAAAATCCGTTTCCCTGTCCGTGTTCCACATCCCTGAAACCCAACGCCGTTTTCAACACATCTCAATTCTTATCCAAACGGGAATTGCGACATTAGTTTGGTTTGTAGTTGATAACTCCTTTAAGGATCCAGACTTCACCATTGGACACTTGTGATGCAAGACTCTGCACTTCGATATTCCCTGGCTGAATCTGCAATTGCGTCAGTATCGGCGTACATAATAAGGTGCAAATGGCCGAGAAGGGACATACGAAGATCTTGTCGCCATCTTTTGTCCAACTCACTTTGCCTCCACCAATAGTCTCCACTTCCTCCCCTTCCTTCCACGGGCTGACAGGCACCAAATGCGCTTCAACAAAGCGTCGCAGATTCTGCCTTGCCCGATCCTCCCCTTCTTGACCCTTGTAGGCATCCATGCTGCCGAAACGCGCGTAATCCTCTGGATCTTCCCACGGTTTCCGCGGCAGGGACTGGATAGCGGAATTCAGGGGCGCCAGGACGGTAGTATTCTTAGACTTGTCGTTGAGGCGGGTCGAGATAGGTTCAATATCTCGCGTCAGTTTTGCGAAAACGTTCACCTGGCGAGTCTTCGCAAGGATGTCCGGAACAATGAGATTGGAGGTCGGGTTATCACCATCGTCGGGCTTCGGGGTTGAAACGGGCGCCGTCGCAATCGCATCATCATCTGGGATTGGGGGCGGCATAGCAACATGCGGAGACGTGTTTGCGCCGGAATCTTGAAGCTGCAGAGGACGTGGAAGTGGTCCACCAAGGTCGTTCTTAAGGACCGGGAGGGGTAGGCGCTTCCGGCCCGTGAGGAAAGGAGGTAGTTGAATGGCAGACACAGCGCATATGAGTGCAGCCAGAATACCAAGTTGCGTCAGCTGGTAGATCTTCATGGTGGATCAAGATGTCCTGATTCCTGTGCGCCAGCGCAAAGTGGTGATGATCTCTCAGCTAACAAGACGATGGAAGCGATCATGACGCAAGTCTTGAGGCACGTGACCAGATATAGTCTCGCCTCTACGTACAGAGCAATCCAGACGGTAAAAGCTTCCTCAAAAGGGAAATGAAGAAGAGGGAAAACAGGTCGCCTGATTTCCATTGGCTCTAGCCATATCCATAAAGTATACGTCTCCATTCCTAAAGTATATCTTGCTATTACTCCGGAGTATATAGTGTCTTACTAATCTGCAATCGCTTTGCCAATTTGTATATCTCTCGCTAATTGTGGGCAGGCAGAACCAATAATTTGATATGATATGCTTTCAAGTTTGGCAATTCTTAAATAATTGCACAAAATGATATTCCATTATAATAGTAGAGGGGATCGAAGAATTGGTAGATTGATGACATCAACCAAGTCCTGGGACTGCACGTGACCCTTATCGATAACGGTATCGGATCGGCACAAAAAAGCATCATGGATGTCCGCATGCCCCTCACCAGCCTTTGACGCCGCAGGTCAGCAAGATGTCGGCCTTGCAGACCTTTATGCTGGTCGCGGACCACGATAAGCAGGAGGCGATCCGAATTGCTGAGAAAACTGCCCAAGGTAAAGCCCCTCTGGTCCGCAGAAAAATGCGACTCGACGTCTGACCGCATTGAAGAGGTCGAGAGTAAGCAGACGACGTTGATCGAAGTTGTTCAGTCCTTGGGAGAGTATATCAACGATGAAGACCCTATTATCCGCGGGAAAGCCGTTTCCTACCTCACTGCAGTGATTAAGGCTCTGCCGCCGAAGTTCCTCTCCCGACAACAGATCCAAGTCTTGACGACCTTCTTTTGCGACCGTATCGAAGATGGAGGGGCGGTTACCGGTCTTGAAACACTCCAGAAGCTGGACAGATTTACCAAGGAGTTGGCGAAGGATACAGCGCGAGCGTAAGTGGAGATGTTTCCTTCTGAAGACCACATCATCACCATCCTCGTTTCCCTTCAGGCAGGCGAGGGATACATTTGAATTTCCAAAGTGCTGCTAGTGGTAGTGGAAGGATTACAACTGACCTGGATATAGCATTTTTGAACATTTCCAGGAGCTCCAAATGCGGCCGCAGTCACAACGGTATCAGGTTTACCAATTGCTTAATGAATTGATGGCAAATCACAGGGCCGGTAGGTCCCCGATTATAACATTCGATGGGCGATGGACTCGGAAGTTCTGACGACCGCAGCATTACATGAAATGGGAGACGAATCTCTAGTTGGGATAGTAGACCTGATGACAGGCGAGAAGGATCCTCGAAACCTCATGGTCGTATTCTCGATATTGAAAGTGGTAATGGTGGAGTGGGATATATCAAATCATGTTGAGGTATTTTCATCCTTCAAGGCCGAACTAAGAATTGTCTAACTGACGTGCCAAGACGCTTTTTGATTCGGTATATAACTACTTTCCCATCACCTTCAGACCTCCGCCGAACGATCCATATGGAATCACAGCCCAGGACTTGAAGGATCGTCTCCAAGACTGCATATCCTCCACAGCTCTTTTTGCTCCACATGCATTCCCAGCTTTGCTTGATAAACTTGATTCGACGTCTCCTAACGTCAAGGTACATATCCAGATTGCACTGGTGAATCTACAATTTTTGCTGACCAGAGCCTAGAAAGATGCACTTAATGCATTATTGGCATGCGTCACCTCCTATGATCCAAACACTGTATCGAGGTACTCTATCAAGATATGGGATGCTCTTAAGTTTGAGATACTTAATGCCCAGGAAGAGTTCCTTTCGGAATTATCTCTTCAAGTTCTTCAGAATATATCGAAACGTCTCTCAGCACATGTAACGCAGGTCTCACAGGAATTACCTCTTGCTCACTTCCTCAGACCGATTATCAAAGAATGCAAGGAGCAGTTGAGAGAACCACAGCAGAAACAGGCGCAACCAGCTCGGCAAATTCTCCGGTCTGTTTCGGCTGCGTCTGCACCGTCTTTCATTCTAATTATTCAGGCCGTCGTCGCTCCACTGTTCACAGTTTATCAGGAGGCCGATTCAATAGCGAAGCAGAGGGCGCTCTTGGAAACGCTCCTCGCTTTGTTTGACTCTGCAATTGAACTGTATGGAACGTGGACGTCGAGAAGTCCTGAAATCGCGTTCGATAATCCATTGCTTGCATTCCAGGATCAACTCATGGAGGTCTTCAGCCAAGCGTTGATGGGCACCGCTAAAGAGGAGAACTCGTTTAGGATGACAGCACTACAAGGTCTTCTGCGGCTGTCGACACTGCGTCAGTTTTTCCAGGACAACGAAATAGGATTATTCGTGCAATATCTTGATGAGATTCTGCTGAAGGAAGAGACGGTAGGCGCAGGTGACTTGAAAAAGGAAGCAATTTCGGCTCTGGCAGAGATATCGAAACACAAGCCACGCCTGATCATGGAGATAACGCTACCCGCATTCATGGCTAAGTTACCAGACCGAGATGACGGGGAGAACCGCGCCTACTTGACTACGCTGGAAACGCTGGCTCAAATCAGCGTCGAAAAGGATATATTTGAGACACTAGTCCGTCGACTGCTCAACAAGCTGGACCTATTATTACAAAATGAAGGAGCCTGCACTCCCGCCTATCCGAGAGCGATTCTCTTGACTATCCTATATGCCATGGAAAAGAGAGCAGCTGATCCAAATCAGAGTCTCGAGAGCTATTATGACAGAATTGTCGTGGGACTCTGTCGCAGAGCAGCTGTGGCTTCTGCAGAAGATAAGTCTACCGTCTTACGCGATGTGTCAGTCTTGGATACTCTGGGAAGGCTATGCAACTTGATAGTACGATCCATCTCAAGAGATAAGCAGGACGAAGTGGCAGACAATATGTATTCCCTCTTTTCGGGGGCAGATTCTTTCAAGCCAGTGCCCTTCGCTCAGACTACCACGGTCCATCAGCGCCGCACAATGATCCTATCAACGTACCTACTTGCTGGACTCCCGAAGGATTCCACGAGACTGCCATATGCAAAACCGGATATGTCGCCTCTGCTTAACGATCTCGTTAAACTCTCTATAGCTGAATCTGAACCAGCTATACAACTTGCTATCCTCCGCCACCTTGCTCTTATGGTTAACAAGTTCCTCCCTACAACTGGCTTACTACTTGCGTCCGAAATATTTAACTCTCTTCTACCACCACATTCAGAAGATGCGAAGCTCACTCCCGAAACCATCAAGACGCTTTTCTGGCTTTCAAAGGCCCTTATTCTTCGATTAGCTCCTTCCACGACGGATATACTTTCGAGTCTCTTATCCCTTCTCTCGTCATCTGATAAGGTGACTAGTGAGACCTCTGCACGAGGCTTCGCCATCATTCTCAGTTCCGACGGCGTTTTGTCGACACAGAACGGCGCAAATATCCGGCTCCTCTCTAAACAGCGTGTCTTCAGCACCGTTGTGCCAATCATCTCTAGCAAGATTCGCGAGGTTAACACCGCCGGAGGAGGAGACTCATCACCTTCACCGCCACACATCAAACCTGCTTACCTCACTGCATTATCGGGCGTTCTTTCTGCGATCCCGCCTTCTCTCGTCATGCCCGAACTCCCGACGCTCCTCCCTCTGCTTCTGCAAAGCTTGGACCTCGAAGATGCAGGATCTCAAGCCGTCAAGGCAGCCACGCTCCAGACACTTTCCGTCATCATCCGCGATAATGGCGTTGGCGTGATCGACGAAAGCGGGCACGTCAATGACTTGGTCCGAAGGCTCCTGAAAACAGCCACCTACGTTCCTGGTCCTGCCAAAGTAGAAACAACGCCAGCAGCACCAGCACCAGCAGCAGTACCGGGAACGCGCAACAGTGCAAAATTGCGTGAACAAGCTCTCAGATGTCTCTATCTTCTTGCTGTCTCCTCGCAACAACCCACTGATCCCGCCTCTACCAAGTCAGGAGGGAAGCTCTCTCCCCTCTTACCCGTGAAAAGCCATGTTCTGCGCTCATTACGGCCGATCCTCGATGATCCGAAACGAGACGTGCGCAAAGCAGCCGTTGACGCGAGGGGTGCGTGGTTGAGAAAAGTCAGCGACGCACCTGATGAGGACGATGATTGATTTTATCGTTTTGGATGATGTAATTAATTTAGATCTAGATTCTGGATATTCATCTTCTCTTCGTTTTTGCAAAAAAGATAAAGAAAACAGTGAAAGAGAAAAATAAATACAGACGACACATTTGTTGCACATTTGTTGCGCATATCGTCAATATCCCTACTATTAATAGTAATGCGACAACATACCCCGTGTCTGTCTTGTATGTATGTATAGAGCGAACGTTCGGATTAGGAGGAAAGCAAGAAATAAAGCAAACTTACTCGATATGGAGTTTTAGAATTTAGGATTGACATGACATGATATTGATGATATTGGCTAGCTAGGCTAAGTTTTTAAAATAAACTATCTCATTCTGATTTTCAATTTCAATGTTAATTTCAATTTCAAGTTCAGTTTCAGTCTCACTATCTGGTTCTGATAATCTCAATCTTGATGAAAGTTTTTAGTCCGTCTGTTATTGTATCTGACAAGGCACGAAATGAATAAAAATCATCGGAAGGTTTTTTTTTCTTGTTACATTACAATCTAGTGATTCATCTCGCCCGAAAGTAGGAGAAAAAAAGATGTACCATGTGCAGTCTTCAAGGGGTAAAAAAAGAAAGAAAGAAACAAGCAAAGAAACAAAGGAAAGGGGGAAAGTGGAAGACGCCGAGTTTAAGAAATTGCTTTTCATGGCGGTCTTTTCTCGTAGCTAGCTTTGAGTCAATTTGCCACTCAATTATTGGATTCCATATCCCGTCTCTCTTGTTTTACCAGAAGGATTCTTTATTCTCCTCCATCCGGAAGGCAGCTCGAACACTGGCGCTTTCAAGATGATCTTTGACGCTCTGCAACTCCGAGAAATCTCGTCCTTTGGGTTTGGCGACTGGCACGAGCATCATCATCGACGCATGAGGGACCCCTCCTGGGGTGACGGGTCCATACACGGGTCCATCAGGCTCATTGTTGTTGGTAACAGTAAGAGCGCCGGTGTTGTTATTACCCCCAGCCAAGAGCGTTGCTGTTTGGGGACTGTCATCCCAGTGTCCGACGCCGTCGATCCGCTCGACGACCTTTTTGGCCACGCGATACATCTCGCCGATGCCGGTGTTTCCGATCGCTGCAGCAACGGGATTCAGGGCCGTTGATGAGACTGTGCTGTTTTTGTTGGTGCTGCTGCTGCTGCTCTCCGCGAGATGGGTCTCGTTGCCCAGAAGGTCAACGCTGGACCAGTCATTCGTGCTTTCTCCAAGCTCGATGCTGGCGTTCGATTGCAGGATTTCTTCGATTGACGAGCTCACAATGGATGCCTCGTACCATAGACGTCCCTTCCTGACCATCTCCTCCCGTGTCATACAGCGTGCACGCATCACCCTCGCATCAGCGGGGTGATAGCCGGTGAAGAGATCCTGCACCTCTGTGATCTTGAGGAAAATTTCCGGGCGACGCTCGTCTGCGTCGTTGATAGCGTCCGCACCACCAGTTTCCTCACTGCGAGGCTTTTGTTTCTCTTCCGGAATCGTGTCCACTCCTTGCTTTTCATCAACGGCACTCTGAGCTGCAGGATTTGCCTCTCCTGGACGGATGTACCGATGGCGAGTCCACCGCTTAATAAGCACCTTGTCGATGTGCAGAGCATCGCCTTCGGGCAGTCGACAGAAAATTCTGATCAGCGATCTGTCAGGTTGCACCCAGATGCTTCCGACGAGATCATCGATAGCGCTGTCAAGTTTGCTGTCAGCACCACGAGCATGCTCCATAGCGCCTCTCAGAATCACGCTCGCATCCCAAGTGTGCAGTGGGAAATGGATATTAACAGCACCCAGGACAGTATTTGACTCCCTAACGCGTACATTTCCGGCCTCGTCGACGATGATCACAATGGCCCGCCCGCCCTTGGTTTGACAGTGGTATTCGTAGACAACGCCGTAGTCAGAGAACCCCTCGTCGAACAGGCGGCCTCCTCCATTGCGCTTGCTCGCCTTCAGGTCCAAGATGAAGTCCGCATCTGCACCCGACGACGTCACTCTTCTGATGAATCTCGCACTCGGAGCGCGCACATTGTTGCGGGGCTGGAAGATCTTGTTCCACTCCTCCGAAGTGATAATGTCTCCTTTGTAGGCCTTTGGCATGGTCGGGAGCAAAATCAGGCCGACCTGCATCTCCAAGGTCATAGGCCCGGGGAAGCTCTGAGCAGCATCCAATACTGGCTTGAGGATAGCAAAAAGTTCACGGATCTTATCCTCGATCTTCTTCTCTTCTTCTACCTTCTGTTGGCTAGTCTTCTCGTCTTTTGATGTCTGCTTTCCGCTGTCTTCCTTCCCATCCTTGATAGGAGGCGCCTCGGATTTTGTGCTGGGTTCATTGGGGGCCTCATCATTTGCAGATCCTTTAGCAGATGTCGACGGCTCGATGGGAGAAGTCTCGGGCTTCGTGGTGGACTTGTCTGGTGTTCCAGATGCCGGCTTCTTCTTCGGCAGTATGCCCCAAGCATCTTCCAGAGTAAGCTGCCGCTTCGCTTTTGCTTCAGCTTTCTCCTTGGACTTTTCAGCACTGGTTTTCGCTGCTTTCTGGTCCATCGTCCGATGGAGCTTTCTGGTCGCCTTCTCATCAATCTCTTGCATGCTGTCCCCCATCATAGCCTCTTCAATTCCAGCAAGACTCTTCTCATGGAGGTTGTTTGTGGCGGTCAGGATTTTAGGGCGCTGTGGAGAAGTCGACCGCAACTCATGCTTGCGTCCTGGGTTCTGATCTGCAAACTGGATGTTCTGCAACATAAGTTTGAGCGTAGCGAGCTCCTCAGAACAAGCCGGCTTCGATTTGTTGTCGCGCTTCGGACTTGTAGCTTTAGGAAAAGTAGCATAGAATCCAAGTGGATGAGTCTCCTCATCACGGTTGCCCATGGTGTCTGTAGTGGAGCTGACAGACCTCGGTGGCGTGATGGGTGTGAGTGCCGGCTGGTCGAATGACAAGCGGTTCAGATGACCTGAAGTCATGGTAACAACAGGACATGTGAGATCAAGCAAAGGCTCCAAAGGCGCTGCATGCAGAGTGTGCAGTTGTCGCTTCGTAGGGCTTTCTGACAACATTGTAGCCTGTGGGATAGCTTTCTCGTTGCGAGGAGTTGTCTGTCCCGAGGGAGGGTTGACATGTTCAGCATCAGGACCCATTTCGTCGTCCGCCATATAGACACTTCCGGTATCAATGGCAGAAGCTGGCTTTTCGGGGCTAGGGATTTGCGGCAAGTCTGCAGGTTTGATGTCCTCGACTGGAGAATCGTGCTTCTCCTCGACAGGTTCAGCAGGGGAAATTGCAGACGCAATGGGTTCGGGAGCTTGAGATGGAGTAACCGTAGGAGGTTGTACCACAGCAATGGCTTGCG